TGAAGAGCTGTAGAGTCCCGTGCCAGTGGATAAGTGCACAGAGTACAGCTTTATAATTATGTGGGCTTTTGCCTGTTCCCATTTATCATTGGTAATATTCTGAAGGCTAAATGACTGCTCAGCAATTTAAACTGTGATTTAAGAGAAAATAGGCCTTTTTGTGAAAACGTCCTCTGTCTGTCTCCTGAAATTTAACTCTTTTTAAAGAAGAGTTCTATCTTTTTATAATGATTTTGTTTTTTTACAGTAAATATCTCAAGAGATGCTGGAGAGGCCCCAAATCTGTTGATTCATGAGATTAATTGCCTCTTTTTCTTTATGAATCTGGTGCATCCTGTGACATCTCTTACATTATTGTCTTCTATTTGGGAGACCTTTTTCAGATAACTTGAAGATTTGTTTTTTCCCCCAAACATTTTTGGTTAAGACCAGAGCATAGGTACAATGTTGTCCTACTCTTGTTAAAGATCATTAGTAATACTGTTTTATTGTCATGAATTTGGTAGAGTGGAAAATAAAGACTTAAGAAAAATCACACACTCAAACATGCTACAAGAGCTGCTTTGTGTGTTATTTAATAGTATGTAAGGGTTAACAGAACAAAGCATTAGCTAACACTTCTACCTATTTGGCTAATAGTCTCTTTACATAAGACAACAGACTTCTACTAAAATGCCTTTCTATTTTATGCATTACCTAGTTTTCCTTCTGACATTATATAGATAATAAGTGGGCCTTTTCTCTTTTGGTTTATACTTGGGAGAAAAAAGTATACATCTTATGACATAAAGTGGTACAATAATGCATATTGCTTCTTTCTCTCTCCACTGTTTTCAAAAACTTAGGGGTTTTTTGCCCGGCCTGTGTGGCTCAGTGGTTGAGTGTGGACCCATGCACCAGGAAGTCACCAGTTCAATTCCTGGTCAGGGCACATGCCTGGGTTTCAGGCTCAATCCCCAGTAGGGAGTGTGCAGGAGGCAGCCGATTGATATTTCTCATCTTTCTTTCCTTCTCCCTTCCTCTCTCTGAAATCAATAAAAACAAATATTTTTTTCATTAGTTTTTTTTCCTGCAATAGAAAAAAGATTTTGGTCTGGTTAACTATCAAAGAACACTGGACATTCAAATCAGTACTTAAAGAATGTAAGCAGGAGGGAAGGCATAGTTAGTCTTTATTTCTTCCTCTAGATTTTTATATCACTTAGTAGCTATTTCCTGCCTATTGTTAATTATGTCTCTTCAAGCACTTTGTCCAAAATTGAATACCTTTCCCCCCAAAATTTTTCTTCCTGTTTCTCTGTGTCTGGCTATGAGCCCTGTCTTGTCTGCCTAGTATTTTTTTAAAGTATTACTATTGTCTAAAGTTTTACATATGTCTTCTTTTTCCCCAATTGACCCGCCCCCTCCCCAGCAATTTCCACCCCGGGCAAGCCCCCACCGTCCCAGTGTCTGTGTCCATTGGTTATGCTAATATGCATGCATACAAGTCCTTTGGTTGCTCTCTAACCCCCCCTCCCCTACCATTTGTCTCTGGACCTATTCTTGTTCATCAAATTATGTTGATCATTATATCCCACATATGAGTGAGATCACGTGATATATATCTTTCTCTGACTTGTCTGCCTAGTATTTTGAAAATGATGGCTGATGAACCATCTTCAACAGTATCACCTGGGTTACTGTGCTTATCAAAATGTAGATTTCAGGGCCCTATCCCAGGTAACTGATTCTGAATTGTAGGGACCTGAATGCTTCCGCCTTGTCTAGATCTGATTGGCCAACTAATCCTGTTGATTTTGCCTTTGAAATAAATATTTCTTTAATCCATCCACCTTCCATTTCCCCTGCTCTATTCAAGCCCTCATCTTCCACCCAGAATAGAGCAAGTTTCCTATGGCTATTCCAATTTTGTCTCCCTCAGTTTTATATTCCATGCTGGTGTCCAGTTTACCTTTCTAAAACGTGCATCTCCTACTTGTAAATCCTTCATTTCTCCTTAATGTCTAAATTTCTTAAAGTCTAAATTTCAAGGTCTACTACAATCTGGCCATAACTGAGTCTGCTGCATATAGTTTATGCAGTCAGTGCACTCTGCATCTCTAGGGAATACTATTCCAGTATGAATGCTGCCCCTAGGGTTTTTGTAATGTGGCACAATTTTAGATGGTGGCCCTGATTATCACTGTCAAGGAAATGAAAAGGCAATCTAAACAATGGAAGAAAATATTTACAAATTATATATATACACATATGTACATATATGTGTGTATATATTATATATATAATATATAGATAATACTTAAGATATATACATATATATATCTGATAAGTCTCTAGTTTTCAGAATATATAAAGAACTCTTACAAGTCAGCATTAGAAAGATAAACGAGTTAAAAAGTGGTCAAAGGACTTCACTAGACGTTTCTCCAAAGAAGATATGCAAATGACCAGTAGACAGTGGAAAAATGCTTAACATCTTTAGGGAAATGCAATCAAAGCTATGGTGAGGTACCACTTAACATATAATTTTATATGCACTAAGATGCATATAATTTTTAAATGGACAATAAAGGTTGGTGAAGATGTGAAGAAATTGAAACTGTTGTACTTTGCTAGTGGAAATATAAAATGATACAGCTTCTTTGGAAACAGTTTTGGCAGTTCCTTGAGAAGTTAAACAGAATTTCCGTCTGACCCGGCAATTTTTCACCTTGGTATATATCTATGAGAATTGAAAACATGTTCACACAAATATGGAAACAACCTAAATGCCCATTAATTGAAGAACGACTAAGCAAAACATGTATATCTGCAGTGGAATATTATTCAGGCATAAAAAGCAATGAAGAACTATTACTTGCTAAAGAATGGATAAACGCTGGAAATTTATGCCATGTGAAAAATGCCAGACACAAAGACCATATATTGTATGATTCCATTTATATGAAATGTCCAAAATAGTCAAATGTATAGCATTAGAAAGCCAATCAGTGGTTGCCAGGGATGGATGGAAAGAGAATTGGGACTGCTAATAGGTACAGTGTTTCTTTATGTGGTGACAAAAATGTTTGGAATCATAATGGTGATGATTGTACAACATAGGGAATACACTAAAAAACAAAAAAGTACACTTTACAATGGTGCGTTTTATATTATATGAATTATACCTTAATGTAAAATACTAAATTAAAAGCATTATGTACCCAAAGATAAAATGAAAGATATTATGAAAGATTAGAAACTGATATTGTGAAGAATTTCCAATTGTAAAGAAGCTAAAAATGGACAAAGGACTTAAATAGACAAAGAGACATATGAAAACATGTTCATAGTCACTAATCATCCAAGAGATGCAAATCAAAACAACAGTGAGGTACCACTCACACCTGTCAGAATGGCTATCATCAACGGATCAATAAATAACAAGTGCTGTCAAGGATGTGGAGAAAGAGGAACCCTGCTGGTGGGAATGCAGACTGGTGCAGCCACTGTGAAAAACAGTGTGGAGTTTCCTCAAATTAAAAATGGAACTCCCATTTGACCCAGTAATCCCACTTCTAGGAATATATCCCAAGAAATCAGAAATGCCAATCAGAAAGAATATATGCACCCCTATGTTGTCCATTTCTATGAAGTATTAATAACAAAAATTATAATAGCCAAGATTTGGAAACTGCCTAAGTACCCATCAGCAAATGAGTGGATTAAAAAACTGGTACATCTACACAATGGAATACTACACTACTGTAAAAAAGAAAGAACTCTTACCATTTGCAACAGCATGGATGGACCGGGAGAGCATTATGCTAAGCAAAATATGCCAGTCGTAGAAAAATAAACATCACATGATCTCACTCATTTGTGGAATATAATGAACAACATAAACTGATGAACAAAGATAGATCCAGAGACATAAAATCATTGAACAGATCATCAAACCTCAGAGGGAAGGCCTCGGGGTGGGGGTAAGAGATCAACCAAAGGACTTATATGCATGCATATAAACATAACCAATGGACACACATAGTAGGAGGGTGAGGGCATGTGCTGGGGAGATGGGAGCGGCCAGGGAGAAGTCAATGGGGGGGAAAGGACACATGTAATACTTTAAACAAAGAATTTAAATTAAAAAAAGAAGAAGCTAACTAATTTGGTACTCCCAATACCTCCTATAACTGATAGAGAACTTTGTCTACTCTGTGGCCTTCAGAGGGTTAAAAGAAAGGTCCTGTGGTATGGTTTTTACAGCTGGACAGGAGGAATCAGTTATTGGATGGCTCTCTGCTCAGAGCTAAGGCATGTGGTTAGAGATGTTATGCAAATTGAGATGATAAAACCAAATTACTTACACTGAGTAAATCACCTGTAGTTCAGAAACAGCAGGGACGTTGGAAAACTAATCTGGAGTGGGGGCAGTACTTGAAGGAACGTAGTTTTTCTTTTTAAATACACAATCCAATAGCAGTTCTCCCTAGATTTTGTGCTAAAATAAGAGCATTTTCACACATCTTAATTACTCTGTGATAACAATAGTGTGAACTTCATCCACAAACATTTATTGTGTATTTAATTTTGCTCTAATTTCAGTGTAGCGAGAAATCACCTTGTAAGTGGGAATAACTGTCCATTTAGTAAAAAGAAATCTCTCCCATGCTGTTAATTCTGTTATGCATTTCTATAAAGTATTAATAACAAAATGGCCTTTTATATTTCTCCATTTTTAGGTTGCACTTTACTATTTTCAAAGTAGCATCTTTATGAACTGGAACCACACTTACCTCTTAAACATTAGTAAAGAATATTTTTTAAAATGTAGAAATTAAGGTTTCACAGTATTTCTTATTAGGATTTAAGATGAGACTTTTATGCCTTTATAAACCTTTATAGTACTTGATGCTATAATGTTCATGATAGACCATATAGAACTGTCTTTAAAGACGCATTTTTAAAATGATATTTATCTAACTTAATAGCGATAAATTGTTCTGGTTATTTTCCAGACCTGTCATTTACTCCATCCTTTATAGTGATGCTACAGGACAGAGAGGAATGGATAAAAACATTGGTGAGCAACTCAATAAAGCTTATGAAGCCTACCGACAGGCATGCATGGATAGAGATTCTGCAGTAAAAGAACTACAGCAAAAGGTATATGGTTTTGGTTTTCAAAGTTATATATCCTGGTAAATGGATTTTGAGAGTCTTTTGCTACTGAAAAAATATTATATTGTTAGACACTGTCTTGAAGAACTATAAGTACTGAAACATGGGGATATATTAATGGATATAATCTGAGATTTTTATGTGACCTGTGGGAAGAGTTCATTTAAAGGTGATTGTATAAAGAAAATATTACAAATGGTCTTTCATAATTTCTTTTTCAATTACAATTGACATTCAATATTTTATATTAGTTTCATAGTGTTTACATAAAATGACGAACTGAAAGAAGTATCACTGTCTTAGTTTTGTGTTTTGTTTTTATATATTTTTATTGATTTCAGAGATCAAGGGAGAGGGAGAGATAGTAACATCAATGATGACAGAGAATCATTGATTGGCTGCCTCCTGCATCCCTCACACTGAGGATTGAGCCCTCAACCCAGGCATGTGCCCTGATCGGGAATGGAATCATGACCTCATTGTTCATAGGTTAGTGCTCAACCACTGAGCCACGCTGGCCAGGCATGTTTTGTTTTGTTTTTACATTGTTATTTGGCAAGCAGGAAGACAGTAAAAAATTTTAAATATCCTAGAAATAATTTGTTATTAATTTATAATAGTCTTCCATCTTTAACTATAACAGAAAAATGGACTATCTCAGTGAAATATTTAAGGACTTACCAGAAGTTTCAGCTTTGTAAAATTACCTCTATACACAGTGTACTATAGGGTGATCCTATGATTCCTAAAAGAAGTTGTGAAGATATATTATGGCTCAGTCATGATTAATATGACTAAGTAGTTTGTACTTTATTCTTATTCAGTCAGAATTTACTGAAGGATTAATATATGCTTTAGAAAAGTCTAATATATAGTTATGTAAAAGACTGTGGTATAGAAGATAGGATAGAGAACAATATGGAATTCAGCTCAACAAACATATCAATGCTAAGCAATGTTCTAAGAGGCAGGAATTTAAAAGTAAGTGGCAACCATCAAGTTGAACTTTATGTACTTTTAATATATAATTATGTTATACTTCTGTTTTTAAAAGAAAAAATGAATGACATCCATTTCAAGCAATCAAAATAAGGAGTTAAATTAAGTATTAGGAATGAATTGGAAAAGAGATCTAAGATTTATGTAGGAGATATAGAACGGAAAGCAGGTGACACCTGAATGCAAGCTACTTCTAAGGGTGACAGCCTGGATTCTAGAATGATAACCAAATATCCGGAATAGAAACTGGGTTAATGGTGGTGCTGATAACTGAAACCAATAATGAGAGGAAGTGCAAATTTGGAGATAGAGAAATATGATGTCTAATTCGGTTTTAGTTATTAGGTTTAGTTACCTATGGGGCATGCAGGTAGAGTGTTTAGTAGATGTTTGCAAATATGGATCTAGAAGCCTGTGTAGAGTTCTGAATTGGAGATTGTAGATGCAGAGTATAGAATAACAGGTTTGCCCTAGCCGGCTTGGCTCAGTGGATAGAGCGTTGATCTGTGGACTGAAGGGTCAAGGGTTCGATTCTGGTCAAGGGCATATGCCTGGGTTGCAGGCTCCATCCCCACTAGGGGGCGTTCAGGAGGCAACCGATCAATGATTCTCTCTCACCATTGATGATTCTCTCTCTCCCTCTCCCTTCCTCTCTGAAATCAATAAAAACATAAAAAATAAATAAAATAGAATAACAGTTTTTATTATAGCCTTGAATCTGGGTAACATTTCTTAATTAGAATGTATAGTGTAAGGAAATAGTTAAAGGACCAAATGGTAAGAGGAAGGAAATGAGGCCAACCCATTGGTCAGGAATAGGTTAAGGAATTTACTATGAACAAGAAGAGAAACATCTATTCCTCTGGGTACTGGAGGGAACAAAAGGGAAAAAAATAGCTGCAAATGAAAATAAGTTTGCATATAGGAGGTGGTGGTGGCCAGAAATTAGAAGGGTTATCATGTATCACTTATATGTAAAATCTAAAAAGTCAGACTTATAAAAAAGAGTTAAATGGTGGTAACCAGGGGATAGCGTGGGGGGAGGGAAATAAGATTGATGGTGTTTAAGGTCCAAACATGTGGCAAATAAGGGTACAAGCAAGTAGTAAATAAGACAAGAGATCTAATGAACAATAAAATGAATATAGACAATAACATTTTACTATAATTATATAATGTGATAACACTTCAGTGTTTAGTATATTATAATACACTAGAGGCCCGGTGCACGAAATTCATGCACGGGGTCAGGGGGAGGCCCCTCAGCCCAGCCTGCACCCTCTCCAATCTAGAACCCCTCAGGGGATGTCTGATTGCCTCTCGCAATCCGGGACCACTGACTCCTAACCTCTCGCCTGCCTGCCTGATCGCCCCTAACCCCTCTGCCTGCCTGCCTGACTGCCCTAACCACCTCTGCCTGCCTTCCTGATCGCCCCTAACTGCTCCCCTGCTGGCCTCTGTCCCACCCCGCACCCGGGACCACCTCTGTCTCACCCCGCACTCGGGACCCAGGGTTCGCTCCTCCGGCCAGTCACAGGCATCCAGGACCTGGGCTTTTCTCCCTCTGGCTGACTGCAGGCACCCAGGACCCGGGCCAGCTTCTCCGGTGCCGGCCACAGCTGCAGGGGACCATGCGCGGGTGGCTTCACCTGAGCCACAGCCACAGGCACCTGGGACTGTGAGGCAGGGGCTTGTCCCTCTCCTGGGCTGCAGCTCCAGCTGCTGGTCCCCAGACCCACAGGGCAGGCAGCTTGTCCCTCTCCTGGGCCGCAGGCGCTGGCGCCAAGGACCATGGGACGGGTGGTTTGTCCCTCTCCCAGGCCACAGGCACAGCCACTGGCACCCAGGACCGCAGGGCAGGTGGCTTTTCCCTCTCCCGGCCACAGCCTGGCTGGTCCCCATTCCTCTCTCATGAGCTCATTTGTGCCTGGCTGGTCCCCATTCCTCTCTCCCCATTGTTGAGTGTCTGAGCCATTACTGCATGATGGTGTGAGGATTTGTTGACCATTTGCATATTAGTTCTTTATTATATGGGATACATGTATCAAAATAACATGCTATATACCTTAAACTTGCACAGTGTCATACATCAGATTTATTCAGTAAATTCATCTGAGCCTTCAGCAAGTCATAATCTTTTCACTGGTAGAGAGTCTTGGCTCAGTGCTGATGAAAAGGAAATATCTATGAAGCACAACAAAGCCAAGTACAATAATACAAAGTATGCCTGTAATACAAAGAAATGAGAGTTCTGACATTGGGTTTTATACTTTAAATCTCATTTATTTTTTAACTTTTTCTAAAACGTGTGAAGACACTTATACTTCCTTTTGACATTTCTTGGGATTTTATTTTATGAAACATTTATTGTTTTTGAACTTACAGAATCAAAAGTACCAAATGTAAATCACTAACTTCTCCTCATGTATCTACTCCCAGAAATGACATTGAAATTTAAAGTAAAGCAAGCTAGTTATTTCTCACTTATAGTCCTTAGTAACAAATTCTCAAACTTCTATCTATAATAATAAAAGTGTAATATGCTAATTAGACTGGACATTCTTCTGGATGACCTTTCGGATGGAGTTGGGGCTGTGAGGGAAGCCTGGGTCCCGGGTGCCTGCTGGCAGCCAGAGGGAAGCCCGGGTCCCGGATGCCAGAGGGAAGCCGGTGCCGGCAGCTGGGGGAAGGAAGACCTACTCTTGCACGAATTTTGTGCATTGGGCCTCTAGTCTATATTTTAAAAACCCAGTGGCCCTAACACCGTAACGACCAAAGACAGGTCACCAGGAAGCTGTGTGCGCAGCAAGATGCATGTGGGTGGGCAGGGCTGTGTGTGTGATGAGTCACGCGCGGGTGGGCGGGGCTGAGTGTGTGGCAAGGTGTACGCAGGTGGGTGGAACCGTGTGCACGCGGTGAGGTGTGCATGGGTGGGCGGGCTGCATGCGCGGCAAGGCACACACGGGCAGGCCGAAACTTGACTCTGGGTCCCACAGCATGGTGGGACTTGACTCTGGGTCTCGTGGCACAGCGGGACTTGGGGAAGTCCCGCGGCGCAATGGGGTTTGGCGTCCCAAGTCTCACGCAGTTCTCCATGGATTTGGGTCTCATGTGATTTCGCACACTGGGTCACTAGTATAAAGATAAGATCAAAGGCTCTGAAGTCAGACCTAAGTTTTAAATACCATTTTGAGCACTTCCAAGATTTTTAGCCTGGATGAATGGAAGATTAATGTAGCCACAGAAGTAGAGAATGCTGATTTTAGTATAGGAAATTATTTTATTTGGCTTGGATATTTTGAGTTCACATGTTGCATCAAGAGCCAGAGGAAGATGATCAGTAGGCATTTGAAATATGGATCTTTGGAATAAGGTACCAATTGGAAATACAGCTTTGGAAGTTGTCTTTATAGAGATGATATTTGAAGTGACAAGAGAAAGAGGTACCAAGGAGAAAGAGAATAAGAAAAGCAACAGGACAACCTTGGAAGAGTTTCATACCAGCAAATCGGATAACCTTGATCAAATGGACAAATGGCTAAAAACATTTAAGCTACCAAGACTAAATCATGAAAAATAAAAAATCTAAGAGATTGAAACAGTAATCAAAAAATTCCCAACAAAGAAAGTCCAGGACTCATGCTTCACTGATGAATTCTACCAAACCTTCAAATAAGAATTAACACCAGTCCTTTTTAAATTCTCCAAAAAAAATTGATTAGGATAGAACACTTTCTAACTCATTCTTTGAGGCCAGCATTACCCTGATACCAAAGCCAGATAAAAACAGTACAAGAGAACTAAACTAATATCCTTTACAGATGTCGATGTAAAAAGCCTCAACAAAATACTAGCAAATCTAATTCAGCAGCATATATTACAAACATTACACACCTTGACCAAATCAGATTTATTCCTGTAATGCAAGATGGTTAACATAAAAAATCAGTCAAGGTAATACCATCTATAATAATAAAAGCGTAATA